CACACACACACACACACACACACACACACACACACACACACACACACACACCTTCATTCAAATTTAACCCTATCCGTACGTCGTGTTTTACTATCGTATCCATACAACGTGGGGAACTCTCTGCCACCACTTTCCAAGGAGGAAATTTACTCGTTAATCCGATCCGTACACTTTGCATAGCAGTCAGTCAAAATGACTTTTTGAGAAATACTGAAAGATCTTCACTCTAAAAGTATTCTAAAATGTGAAGAATACAACCCTGGGGGTACAAATTGACCCCAGGGCGTACGGGTAGGGTTAAGGATTTTCCCCTGCCTTCCAAATCACTGAAGTGTCAAAAATGAATGATTTTGACAAGTGATCAAGATCAATTAGAACTTAGAGTGACATCAAACTGTATTAATTTTTTTTACGGGGGGGGGGGAAGGAACCACCAGGAGACAACCTCGAATTGAATACAGTACTGAACACTATGTTTTAAAAAGGGTTGGGTAGAACGTGTACTTTTCTGATCCTCTGTTCAAATAAAAAAAGTTTCTTTTTAATGCTGTCCTTGACGGAATTCATGAGACATCTAAATGTATCTCTGCTTACACTATCATTACTGTGATCTTTTTTTTTTAGTACCGGTACTGGTAAGAATTATTTTACAGTACTAGTTACCCTAATACATGATATAAGGAGATTAGAAATATTACACGAGAGAGTATATTATAAAGAAAAGGAGGAGGAGGGATAAGGAAGATAGATGTTTGATAGGAAAGTAGGAGTAAACCACAAAAGGGCACCCTCCAACCACCCACAATCTTGTTTTTTCTCTCTTTAAATTTTGGTCCATTCAGGTTATTGAGAATCCAGTTCTAGAAATGGCCACTGCGGAGATGAAGTACGCCACCAACCCCGTGGTTGAGATGGGGACCGCTGAGATGAAACCGCTGCCCCCACCGCCACCAGTCAAGGACGAGTCGACCAGACAGAAATACTCGACTCTCTTGTCCGCTCAGCTGGCAGACAATGGGGTTGACCTTCCTGATTCGGCCAGGCCTCCGGATAGAAAGGTACGTTCTGTGGTGATGGTAAGAGAGACGGGTATTGTCCCATTATTTTTCATGGCTTCTCTTAATTTCATTGTAGCGTGAAAAAGTAAGAAAAAAAATCATATAGGAAGAATGTTTCTGGAGGGTACAAATTCTTTTCTAACTTCTGGTTTTTGTTTCTGTCTTTCAGCTTTGGTTTTCCCCAGTATTACTGGTCGTTGTTACGTTATTGTCCTTCTCTTTACACAACACTCTGTTTTGTCCCTTTTTATCTTATCTTATATTATCTTATAATTTGCTTAATTTTATCCTATATCTTAGCTTATCATCATATGTCTTCTGTCTTGTATTTTGTCTTTGGTAGTCTCATTTTGTCCCATCTTATTTTCTCTTAGAATTTGACTTATCTTTTCTGGTCTTATTTTAGCTTATAATTTCATTTGTCTGGTCTCATTTAGTCTATATTATTTATGTCTTGTCTTATCTTGACTTATCTTATCTTTTTTTTATCGTGTCTTATCTTATCTTCCAGCCCCCAGCTCGAGCATCTCCAGATGTGAATCAGATGTCGCTGCAGTCGGTGCGGGAGGCCATGGCCGTGAGTCTACAGCGCATGAGGGAGCTGGAGGAACAGGTCAAGGCCATTCCTATACTGCAGGTGAGCTCGTGGGTTCTGCCGAGAAGAGTTTTCTGTGGGTGGGAGGGCTCTCTTTCTCTTTCAGTCTCTCTTTCTCTTTCAGTCTCTCTTTCTCAATCTCTCTCTCTCTCTCTCTCTCTCTCTCTCTCTCTCTCTTTCTTTTTCTCTGTGTGTGTTTGTATTTCTTTCTTTCTCATTCTCTCTCAATCTCCCCACCCCATCCCCCTTCACTCTCTCTCCGTCTTTCTTCCTCCCTCCCCAACGTCCTCTTTCTGTTTGTCTGTGTGTCTGTTTCTCTATCACTACCCCCTCTCTCTCTTTCTCTATCTGTCTATCTATCTATCTATCTTTCTATCTCTATCAACACCCGCACGCGCTTCAGAAAGTTATAGTTTTG